TAAAATTTTGAATGCGTGTCAACAAACATGATGACATGGCCTTTCACCCGTGACCCATCTCGAAAGGGTTAATCGATTGTTGGAATAATCAAAAATGCTAATAATTAGAAATGCTAATCAATATACAAGTAATTGATTAAATCACCCTTTTCTACTGAGAAACCATCATCCTTGTATACTAGGTGATTATGGAAAACATGCAGAGACATTGTGTGTGATTTGATCGTGACAGTTTAAGGAAAGAGCCTTTTGGAATGAAAACTATGTGCAGAGCTACTGTTGAGATGCAAGGTCATCATATAAAGCATGAATAGAAGTGGTGACATGAATTGTAACAACATGGTGAGGCTCCAAAAGCATTTAATATAACGTACTTAACCTAAAGCTAAAAATTCATCACTGAACTTTATGCGAGAAAAGGATTGAAATACATACATGATTAACCACTAAGTGTTGAACTGCATTAGATATCACTTAGCAATTCTAAATCTACATACATCTACAATTAGTTCTCTGAAGCCTTCTATATCTTTCCATACACTTTATCTGGATACTCAATCCAAGTAATAAAGATGATTTGATGGAAGCAGCAAGAGACAAAACACTATAATACACATGATCATATCTGTCATTAATTTCTCCATAAATGGGATATATAATTGTTATTACCATCATCACCTGGTTGTTTAAATATTCACTTTACATATCAGTTACACCAATGCAGCTGTAACCAAAAAATGCTCTTTGTCTAACATTGTTAGTTCAAATCCACTAATATTTAAATACATAATTTCACAGAGTGTGTTAAAGCACATTTGTTTACTTTTTATATGTAAAAGTTTGACATATTTATACTGAATATCAATTCATGAAAAAAAAAGACTTTTTATGTTTAATATGTAAAAATCTGTAACACTGCAACATATGCTGTTTCAAGCCATCATGTAGGTGAAAGGTGATGTAAATAAAAAACAATTTAATATACAGCCACATCAATCAATCTACAGCAATATATAAATATTATATAAATGTTCCTTATTTTGGTAAACATTCTAAACAAAGAAATCACCTCTTCTTCGTCTTCCTCTTTTGTCTCCTCTTCCTTTCCAAGTTCAGTGTCCCACGGTTCTGGTTGAGGATCACGTAAATACATGTGGCATGAGTAAAGAGCAAGTATACAACTGATTGGATGATTGAAGTCTTCTTGCAACATCATCAGTGATGCTATCTTGGCAGCATCTGCCAAACAACACCAACAATATGCATCCCATATAACTGGCCAAGTTTCAAAACAACTCTTAAGTAACTATGATTTTGAAAATTCAATTTTAACTTAAGTAACAGAAACAAAGTAATTAATTGCATTTATAACATTTCAATCAAATAATGTTAAAAAGTATTTAACAAACATCTCAGCTACATTTTCTTTTTCCCAAAACAAAAATTATACTTTTCATAAAATTTATTTATCATTTTTTTACATTTTTCAGGTAATATTATAATAACAGTATAGTGAAAAATTTTCAAAAAAGTCTGCATGTCTTGAAAGGTTATGGGCATTTTTGTGCACATTGGATGTACAAATATTCAGTATTTTAGTATTTACACCAGGTACCCACTCAACAACTTTAATACCCAGTTACAAAATCACTACCTAGATCCATCAAAGCAATGACTAATATCAAACTGCATGTATTCTTTTAATTTTTTACTTGGCATTACAACTTTCCAAGGTCGTCTAAATGTAAATATCGAGAACAGAACGTCATGTATGTTTTTTGTATGTTAAGAAATAAAAAATAAAAAAGAATTCACCCAAGCTTTGCTGAATGTTTGTTTTGTTCTCAATGCATTTCTTTTTTTCTGATAGTAGTATAAGTCTTATCCCCACCAGTGATAGCGTACTGCTATTATTTGTTGGATACACATAACATTACGCAGTTGTCAGCTTGCATACCGAGTCTTGCAATGTTATGCAAAAAGCCTACAAACCACTCCATGGGTAATGTACACTCAACTCTGAATTAGCACCTGTCATCGCATATTAGCAAAGTCCTTTGATTGATATGATTTGGGTTTTACTATAACCCATACCATAATCACATAAACTGTGTATCAGAGACAGAAATTAGGATCATGTGATTCGTCAAGCAATAATATCAGACTGTGACACTCATTTGAAGGTTGCTGTAAAATACCTGACTCTAAAGTAAAGGAAGGACCATAGATATTGCAATTTGCAACTAATGGTTTGTGTCATGGTTATGAACCTTTTAAAAAAAAGTAGGTTAGCAGTTGATTTTGTCCATTCATGAAACTACAAAGATCAAGGATAAAAAGTATGTTCAAAATACGACATCCACCTTTTTCATTGTTTCACTGACTATCTATAATTATATATTAGCTTTACCATATTAGGTTATTAGCAGGATTAGGGTTGAACGACAACTTAAACATAAGAAATTTTCAGGACTACGAGTTCTGTGGAAACAACCTTTCTCATGATAGATGCGAATCACAAGCTGTCCAGAATTCCAAGAGTCAAGAGTGTTTCCAATTCTTAAGTTTAATTGTACATTTCCATCACTTCACTGTTCTTTTGAAGCTTTACCAAAAAGTCAGAGGGCTAACTTCTTAACATTTCTGCTATTTAGACTGTACCACACAATATGACTTTTGAACTATTTTTATCATTTCATATCCAGTATACATTTCTTTCTCAATGTTCTCTTTTATCAGAGAATATATCGTGTCTAAAAAGAAAGCTTTGTTTGGAAATATTTTGAACTAATTGCTGAATAAGGCAGAAGCAGGGCAAAATGTTCACTTTGTAGAAGTATCCTAGTCTGTTCTGGCAGTAGCACTTCATCCTTGAGAAAACACTTGAACAATAAACACCCAAGTGTAAAGGATCATTGGACTGGGCCATTGAGTCTGAGACAAACAAGTGTTGGGGATTTTTTCAAGCAGACCAAGAGTCAGCCATATTCTACACAACAGAGAAAAAAAAATCCTATACTTGTTGTGTAAAATTACTTACCTGGACCTCACACCTTTGTCTATGGTAAGGAGTAGTTCATTCTAGGAATTTGTGAACTACATGGAACCAAACTTCTCAGTCCCAAGCTTTACCACCGTTTAAAATCACATCGTGCATTTGTACAATATATAATGGGAGAAAATAGCAAAAGAACTTCAAAACCTTGTTCTCATCTCACTTACCACTGACAACTGGACCTTGCAACAAATGATGCCTATCTAGCAGTTACTGCCCATGTAATGAAGAAGGATTGGGAGATACGAAGCTTGAACTTGGGGACCAAAATCACCCATCAATGCCACATTGCTGAGAACATTTCAAATAACTTAAATAACATTACTAGTGAATGGGGTGTCCCTGACGTTTTTGCTTTTGTGCATGATAATGTACAAATATGGTATCTGCTGTGTCAAGATTGGACGCATACAGCATGGCAAGTTTTGCACACACTATTCAACAGGCAGTCAATGCAGGTCTCACAATGCAAACAGTTTCAAATATGCTTGCTAATACTCATTCCCTTGCAGGATTTTTTTGCAAGTCAAACCCTGCTTTGGTGTCCCTGCAAAAGAAGCAGAAAGAACAGGACCCATCAAATTGTTTGAGACCTATTCAAAACGTAATGACGTCATCTTTACATCAAGTTCATGTAATGCTACTCTTTTTATATGAAATGATCTTATATCTGGGATATATTTTAAGCTTATGAATACAGGCTGAGTGGGATCCACCCAGCTCATAACTATGAAAGTATCCATGAGAGTAATTATAATATAATTTTTGAAAATGTATGCATACCTTCACAAAATTTTGCAGATTCTCAGTAAACATTACAAGGCTTTCAGAAATAAAATATCAGGATTTTAAATTAAGTATTAAGACTTTCAGTAAAGCTTTGTATTTGATCTGTTATTTTCTTTTACGTAACATTATACTTGATTCTCCAGGTTGTAGGTAAGTAATCAAAGTATGATGAAAATAAAGATTGCAAATGCAAAATAAAATGTATAGTATTGTTAGTATTGATCACAAAATTTCAAAATACTTATGGTCAGATATTACACTTTCTCACCTTTTCACACTTATTTTCTCTAGTTATTTTATTGCTAGCAGATGGCTTAGAAATTAGAAGAAACAAAATGAATAGTACTGTCTGTCCTTTTCAGTACAGACAATGACGTTTCAAAGTAAATCTCTTGAGAGTTTCTTCTAATCTTTTTACATCTATTTCCTATGTTTATTCTACTGTTAGCGGCTGAAGTAGAAACCTTCCGAATATAAAGCAATAAATCACCATTCCTGTTTAAGTGTCACTGCACATTGAGTACTTTGACACCTTCAGTACCAAAGAAGCTTTTGCTGTACAATTCCCAGAACTTTACATGCTTTAAAAACACAGTTGGGTAGGATTTATTAACATATTGGCAGTATAATGGTTACAACAAGAATTGTATAAAGTATAATAAAATGCTTATGCTATGGCTTTGTAGAAAAGTCTGAGCCAATCCAATAAACTTGGGAGGTATTTGAGTGTTGGTCGATAAACAGACGTTTCCTTTAGAGTCTATATGAATCCCATCTCTGAAAACACAGTGCGGTAGAAATTATCTGCTTGCTTACACAGTACAGTAGTTGCAACAAAAGTTGTCTAAAGTACTGTATGAAAATGAGAGAAACTATTTATGATATGGCTTTCAACAAAGTTGTATCCAATCCAATAAACTTGGGTAATCTGGATTTAGTGATAATATAGGTGGGAAAGTGCTTAAGAACATCCTGTTTCCTATATATATATATTACTGCTATTTACAAATAAATATTTAAGTTTCAGTTATTTTTCTTAAAACATAGAACAGTAAATAAAAAATATTTGGAAAACAATGATATCCACTATTTACGATGTTTTGAAATTCTTTTTTTTTGCACTCGTGAGTTGTACTTGCTAACCCTCATCGTAAGCCTTGTCCAAATTCACATATGGATGTAGGAAAAAATAATTTTTGCAGACTTTATATATGCATGTTTGAATACCAAAAAATTATAAATGACTATACCTATACCACAAAAA